GCTCACGGCAACCGCCACCTCCTGGGTGCAAGCAATTCTTGTGCCTCAGCCTCCGGAGTAGCTGGGACTACAGGTGTGCACCATCATGCCCGCCTAATTTTTGTATTTTTACTAGAGACGAGGTTTCACCACGTTGGCCAGGCTGGTCTCAAACTCCTGACCACAGGTGATCCGCCCACTTCAGCCTCCCAAAGTGCTGGGATTGTAAGTGTGAGCCACCTCACCCCAGGTGTTAGTGAATATTCTTATTAGGAAAGGCCTGATAGCCACTTCTGAACTCTTCTAGCTCCAGAAAAAATAAATAAACGTCTCGGCTCTGAACAACCCAGGTAGAGAAACTTGTCTGTTTGCGATTGCTTATTTGTTTGTTTGATCTGGGTGGGAGTGTGGAGGGATTTGTTCTAGAGGACCAGGGATTTGCAAACTCCAAAAGGAATAAAGACCTGTGTCTTAGAGCTCTCAGGACTCCAGAGGGGCAATGACTGGATTCCAAGGGAGTCTGGATCCTCAAAACCTTGGTCCTGGGGTTCTACAGGAAGATTTTCAGAAAGAGGAAAGGACGGTCATGAAGACATTTCTTAGACTTCCTTCCCCAGCCAGGAGACAGCCAGTCCACATGTCCTTGCAGTTTTTCTTAAGTTCCAAGCCAGACAATGAACTGAGAAAGACTTTTTTTTTTTTTTTTTTTTTAGAGACAGGGTCTTGCTCTGTCACCCAGGCTGGAGTCCAGTGGTGTAGTCACAGCCCACTGCAGCCGCAAACTCCTGAGCTACAGGGATGCTCCCATCTCAGCACCCAAGTAGCCAGGACTATGGACAGGAACCACCATGCCTGGTTACGTTTTATTTTTATTTTTTTAGAAGCGGTGTCTTGCTACGTTGCCCAGTCTGGTCACGTACTCTTGGACTTAAGCAGCCCCCCCGCCCTGGTCTAACCCTAATGAGTTTTAGTGGATTATAATTTTGATTACAACAGCAAGGTTAAGCTCTGGGATGACAGGTGTGAGCCACCACACCTGGCCTGAGAGAGACTCTAATCTACTATTAGGAGCTCAAAATAGTCATGATTTATGTTAGAAAGATAAGAAAAGCTGGGCCGGGCACGGTGGCTCACGCCTGTAATCCCAGCACTTTGGGAGGCCGAGGTGGGCAGATCACAAGGTCAAGAGATCGAGACCATCCTGGCCAACATGGTGAAACCCTGTCTCTACTAAAAATACAAAGATTAGCTGGGTGTGGTGATGCACACCTGCAGTCCCAGCTACTCGGGAGGTTGAGGCAGGAGAATTGCTGAAACCCAGGAGGCTGAGGTTGCAGTGAGCCGAGATTGTGCCACTGCACGCCAGCCTGGTGCCTAGCAACAGGGCAAGACTCTGTCTCAAAAAAAAAAAAAAAGATAAGAAAAGCTAAACATTTCTTAACCTATGATATAAACAGAGACAGAACCTGAACCTTGCTGTTGTAATCAAAATTATAATCCACTAAAAACTCATTAAATTTTGAGTCATTTGTTAGTCTACATGCTTTTATGGTTCAATGGTTCTTAAAGTATGACTACTACTACTGGGGATGGTCTGAAAGAATTTTGTTTTTCTTATTAAATATAGATCCTCGTCCTTGAACCAGGTGAGAACTTCTAGCTTACTGGGTAAAGTCTAATTAACATGGTGCAGAATTCCCTCCATGGCAGGGCCCCTGCTGTCTCCATCTCATCTCCAGGCACCTCCTGCTTCCTTGAGAAGGCAACGCTTACGTGTCCAACAATTCCTTCCTTCCACTAGTATCCGTTATGTACCTGATGTTGTCCAGCTCAGGTCTCAGCTCCTGGAAGGGGACAAGGAAGCCCCAGACCCTGCTTTTTTGGCCCTTACCTTCTAGTCCCCTGACAAGTCCTGCTGCGTCAGGTGTCACGCAGACACCTGCATGTTGTCCTTTCTGCGGAAATGTCCAGCCTCCTCATCTGTCTGCCAAAGACCCATGCGTACTGCAGACAATTCAGGTTTCACCCTTTGCAGTGAACTTTGTGCAGCTCTCCCGCATCAGTGGGCTCCCTGTACTCGTTCCTTGCGGGTGCCTCTCTCATGTCACTCCCCAGCCGATTGGGCAATGGTCCTTGATCTGTTGAAACTCCTGGGTAAAGTGTAGGTATCACCTACACAGAGTAAGGCTCCTGAGTGTTATGAAAACTGGCTCATCCTGGCACAGAACTCTCTTCCCCCAGCAATTGATCCAGCAATTCTCAATCCAGGCTCCACACTAAAATCATCTGGGGAGCTTTTTAAACAGCACCACTGCCAGGTTTCCTCCCCAGAGAATCCAGTTTAATGGGTCTCGGGTGGGGCCTGAGCATAGGTATTATTTACAGGTTCTCTAAGTGATTCTACTGGACAGCAAGAGTTGAGAAAATCTCACACAGAGGTACAAAAATAAAGGCCAGGGGACGTGGTCCTTCAGGAAGCTCCTGCGCATCTCACCGGCCTATCGAGGGCATGAACTAGGTCATGGGGACAAGGCAGAATGTAACAGGTACCTCCCTGCTGAAAGCGGCGTGAAGCGCTGCCTCACAGCGTCACTCTGGGGCCTGTCTTTTGCCTGGGTCTGGCTTAGCAAGGGCAATGGCAAGAAAGGGTTTGGGGGTTAACAGACTGGTTCATTCCAAGGGTCAAGGGTTGGTGGTTGGCAGCAGTGAGTAAGTCCACGTTAGCCTTCTTGCTGGAAGGAAGGCCAGTAAGGTTGTCGTCATATTTGCCATCTGAATGAACACTTCTAGAATCTTCCAAGATGTGCCAACCCTTGATCCTTGGAATTAACACTCTCTTGACTGCCAACCCCCTTCTTGCCATTGCCCTTTCTCGGCTAGACCCGGGCAAAAGACAGGCCCCAGAGCCACGCTGCAAGGTGGTGCAAGATGCTCCATCTCAGAGAACAACTTAGAACCCCGTTTCAGAATTCCCTCAGTGAAATGTGCAGAGGAAGGGCCTGATTCGTGTCATGAGGGGCAACACCCCCGCTACCACCATCCCGCTTTTTGTCCCCCAGCCCCCGCAACGGTACAGTGTGGGTACAGGGGGTCTCTGCTGTGATTCATCCCTTTATGGGGAATGAGTCAGGTCCTCTGAAGAAAAGGTGTAAAAAGAAGAAAAACGTGCGTTGTCCATACTGGAAAGCCTCAGTCGGCATCATCTGATCTAGGAAAGGTGTGATGGGATGGGATAATCGATCACTGCCTAATTTCAACTGATTTCTGCAGGGTGCAGACGAGGAAATTAGATATTGGGCCTTCCCAGCAGATAAGAAACCCATGTCAGATGCAGCAAAATCAGCCTCTGTGGCCAGGGGACAGAGTCATGTGGTATCTTAAAAGAAACAAAGAACAAAAAGGTTTCCAAGACCATGCTCTGAAATCTCTGCTCTTTAGCACAGACTCCAAGCTACTAAAGAAAAACCACGAGGAAGTTTTCCGTTTTTTCCCCTAGTATCTTCTCCCTGCCGCCAAAAAAAAAAAAAAAAAAAAAAAATTGAAAATCCATGAAGTATTCGCTATTTTTAGAAATTTTAACTTCTCTATTATCTAACCTACATATTTCCTGAGCACTTTAAGTCCGTTTTAATTTTGTATACTATTTAATGGTAAATCATGGCATATATCCTCAACATAATACTTTATATCCTTGCCGTCCAATTATGCAGTCAGCTTTCACTTCTTCAGACTAAACAATACAACTTCAATTTGCATATGTTCTGCAGGATATGGCAAAAGAAACCTGTTTCAGTGCATTTGAAGCATAGAACAGGGATCATTTTAAATCACACTCAATTGCCCAGCTTTCCACTTGAATAAAATTCAGGTACCATTTAGTTCACAAAGATAATTTTACTTCGAGATTTACAGCTGTGTCTCTCATCTGAGGCAATCTTCCTCGCCCTCTCCCCAGCACTATTTCTTTCTTATCGGCCCTCAAACCCACAAGGCCTTGTTCAAAAATGATGAATCAAGAAGAAAATATAATGGAAATAGCTGCTGTATTAGAAAAATGCACTGGGAATCTTTGAAAACCAGGGAGAATATATTAATATTCTGCGTTTCTTTTATCATACTGAAAAAAAAAAAAGGCAGGCTATGCCTTAGAGCAAGGCTGCAACCGTGTGTGCCATGTAGGAACCGTATCTGCAAGGGCGTCTGGCCTAAATGCTCATCATTAACTAAAGCAGGAGTAGCCCTCCTGGGAGATCCAGCCGGGTGGGGCCACTGAAACATAATGGAAATTGCCCAGCACACACTATGCGCGTCTTCATTACACTGCTCAATACTGAGCATGACCACATAGGACAGCCCTCTTGTATGACACTAAGGTTTTGTGGGTGACCTGCCACTTGTTAGTTTTCTGCTTCCTTTGTTCTTCTATGGTGAGGTCTTTGACCTGAGTTGAGGGTAGGACAGATTTTGGTGGGAAGATGATGATCTGAGTTTAAAGGGGCCCTGGGATACCCATGTGCAGGTGTCTGGTAGGTTAACGGGAATATGCACCCAATGCTCTGGAAAGAGGTCCTTGCTGGAGATGGAACTCTAGGGTCCTTCACATTGGCACGGCTGTTGGAATCACGGCTGAGTCGGAGTTATTGAGCAGCACACGCCTCTGAAGGAGGAAGAACAAGGAGTCTTGGGAGTACCAATAATTGCCGAATACACGAGCTCTGTTAAAGGAAGGCAAGTAGAAGGCTGTCGTGCCATGGAAACTAAGGCAAGAGGGGGTTTCCACGGGAAGGAGGGGTCATGCGAACTGAATACAGTCCCAAACTCCTTTGGACTGTAGACAATGTATGGTACTATTTAGGAGGTCTAAATATAGCTCTGGTAATCTGAGCAAGAGTAAGTTACAATGAAACAGTTACGGGTAAGGGAGAAGCTAGCTAGATTTCACTGGACTGAAAAGGAGTAAGAAAGGAGTAGGTGGTGACAGCAAGGTGGGTACACGGAACGGAAAGAGTCGGGAAGGCGGTGTGGACACCTAGCTCTTCTGTGTACAGGTTGTGTGACTTCAATCATCCGACAGGCATCTGAGCACCTTCAGTGTGACAGTCTGTTCAGCACTGAGGCTGTAAAGACAAACAAGACAAAGTCCATGTACTCAAAAGAGCTTTCCGTCTGTGATCCCAGAGAGACATCTGGACAGAGACGTCAAAATACAGAACAATAAATTCCGGACAGAGCAGTATTTAGCACGAGTCGTGAGCTGGAGGACAGACAGTCCTTGCTCTCACAGAGCTCACCATTGAGGGATGCCCACAGATAGCTGTAATAGAGCAGAAGGGATAAATCTTTAACAGAGGGTGTTTTACTCGGGACACCCAGAAAAAAATGAAATAAATTTTAACTGCAGATTCGGGAAGTTCTCCATGAAAAGGTGACGTTTGATTCAAAACTTGAACAATGTGCTATCAAGGTGCATGGGTTGGCAGAGACTGTCACTTCAGGCAGAGGATATAGTGTTTTAAGGGTTTAAGGGGAAGAAAAAGTTCTTTTTTTTTTTTTTTTGAGACAGAGTCTCACTCACTCTGTCGCCAGGCTAGAGTGCAATGGCGCAATCTTGGCTCACTGCAACCTCTGCCTCCCAGGTTCAAGCGATTCACCTGCCTCAGCCTCCCAAGTAGCTGGGATTACAGGCATGTGCCACCATGCCCAGCTAATTTTTGTATTTTTAGTAGAGACAGGGTTTCACCATGCTGGCCAGACTGGTCTCAATCTCTTGACCTCGTGATCTGCCCCCCTCGGCCTCCCAAAGTGCTGGGATTACAGGCATGAGCCACTGCGTCCAGCCAAGAAAAAGTTTTAGGAGGAAACTTCTGGAGACACTGTCTTGATGCAAGGGGTAAATGTAAAGTGCAAATCTGGAACACAGCGTCAGACTTCTTAGGAGAGTTACTTGGATCAGGGCCTCTGAAATCACCCAGACCCTAGTTCCCTAAGTGCTCTGGTCTAGAGCGGGGCTCCATGCTATGGAGACAGTACCAACCTTTCATCTTCCCGAGGCACATCTCCTGGCTCCGTGATAGAGCCGTACAACAAGCCCACCCTTTGTCACTGTGTGTGCACACATTTAAGTGCTCTCGACAAGTCTGTCTGTATTCCTGCCTCTCCTCCAGTGCTTCTCAGGCAACAACATTACCCTGGCGGCAAGGAAAAAAAAAAGAAAACAGACCTCGCTGTTTGGAGATTACTGAGTCAACCTACAATGTGCTCATGCTTAAGCGTGCATCTGTGGTTCCACCAGGAAGGTCACATATTCTGTCTCCTAAAAAGACCTCATGTCTCTAAATAAGTATTTGTTTGTGAAAATGCAGTATTGTATTGAAATTACCGTATAAAGATAGGGCCTTGGTACAAAATCTCGGAATGTGAGGTTTAAACACAGTTGGATACATTTTTTAAATCACATTGCAACTTTTAATTAAGGCGAGGAAGCTTAATTTAAACAAATAAATGATGAGTGTTGACTACCAGAGTCTAAACAAGACTGTCGTTTTAAAATGTAATCAACATCCTCCCCTTTCCAGACATCATCCTGGTCTGAATTCCTCCCATGTCCTTCCTCTCTATGCAACGAGAGGCGCAGTAGAGGCGCAGTCAGCTGTGGTCGTGTGTCTGTTTTCGCAGCTCCTTCTTTGGCAACAACCGGATAGCACACACAGCCATCAAACCAGGCTCTAGGTTGGCCCCAAACATCACACTGGCCTGGACATGATGGAATATTTTCAGGCACATAGAAACTTGGCCTTTATTCTTCAGGGTTGTAAATCTGGCACCTCTCAGGATCCGTAAATAAGTTTTTTTTTAAAGCCCAAACAAACCATAAGGAAATCCTGCATGCTGAAACAAAAGGTATGAAAGCTAAGTCAGGACCCATGCTGCCATTGTGTGGCTTGCCAGGATGTGAGCTGCTGCCTTGGGAGAAAGATAACATGAAAGAGGCCATAATTGCAGGGCTGAAGCTACAAGTCCGGAGAAAACAGGATAAAAAGTAGCAAGAAGTGTTCCCTGTGCTTTTAACTGGGCCAGGCTGGGGAAAAAAAAATCAAAAGAGCAACTCTCTCCTGAACTCTTTCAAGAAATGGAAACACGGGGCGGGGGAAAGGGGGGGGGGCGGATGGGGGGGGAATGACAAAGAATACCAAGACTAAGTTAACGTTTTCAGGAAAAATATGGGGGCGAGAGAGAGAAAAAAAAGGCGGAATGATTTAATGCCAGCCAAAGGAACTAAGGGGAAGAAGGCGTTTTTATAAACATATTCGCTTGTGTGTGTGTGCGTGTGTGTGTGTGCCGGGAGAAGAGTGTGGAAAAAGAGAAACTAGGTCCATTAATGAAGGAGAAGAGTGTTGCAAGGGAAATCAGCTGAGCTTTTAAACTGCTTTTTAAAAAATTAGCTTAAATGAGAAAAATAAAGATTAGAGGTAAGAATGATTGAGAGGATGTAGTCAATAAACTATTGATAAGGCAGGGTTAAGTGAGTATTTAGAGAAATTGAAGATATGCAAATGAGAGGTCAAAATAACAGTTGCTCAGTGGAGTGGAGCTAGCTGAAGGATTTGGAAGACCACAGCGGGACTTCTTTTTTAGTAACCACTCGGTCGATAGGGAGTACTAAGGACACATGTCCCCACATTGTATTGCACCTTATACTAGTATTGTGCATGAGAAATGCATTCATTGTTCTCACATTCATACATCCGTCTGAGTCTGGTCTTGACCTCCACTATCGGTAGCAATGTGATAGGACTGACCAAAGCAAGAGACGTTCAAAACTCTGGTATGAAACAGAAGCATATTCACTTCTCCCAATAAAAAAGAAGGAATTTGAGGCATTGAGTAATCGGAGGAATTGCTGAAGATGAAACACGAAGTCAGTGACTAAGTTCTGACCTATTTTTAAGAATTCAGACATATTCCCCCAAAAAGAAAGAGCATATTTAATGCAGGCTTCCAGATAGGGAGTCCCACTAACGCTAGGAACTGTTTCAGAAGTAGACCTTGCCTGCGTTCATAATGTGACTGTTGCTGTAGTTAATTTTCCCCATTTGCCTACTCCAAGTTACAGTCAGCCAATGGCACAGCTTAAAATCCAAACACCAAACTATTCTTTCTACCCTTACCCCAAGTAAATATCAGAAGGCCTCCAGCTAGCCTTTGTGAATTGCAAGATGAACCAGTGTCTGTCCCTTTACCTTTCCAGAGCTGTGGGGTCTCAGTCTATGCCCAAGAGATGCACGAAATGTTTTACTGGTTTCTGAAAAGAAGCCAGATTAAGGGAGAAACAGACCTTCAGCAAGCGATAACCAAATGCAAGTTTTGAGAATTGGGCAGAAGAGGTTAATGAACACCCCTATATATCTTTTTTTTTTTTTTTTTTTGAGACAGAGTCTCACTCTGTAGCCCAGGCTGGAGTACAGTGGCGCGATCTTGGCTCACTGCAACCTTTGCCTCCTGGGTTCAAGCGATTCTCCTGCCTCAGCCTCCTGAGTAGCTGGGATTGCAGGTGCGGGCCACCCTGCCCGTTAATTTTTGTAGTTTTAGTAGAGACGGGGTTTCACCATGTTGGTCAGGCTGGTCTCGAACTCCTGACCTTTTGATCCATCTGTCTCAGCCTCCCAAAGTGCTGGGATTATAGGTGTGAGCCACTGCGCCCAGCCCCCTATTCAACTGTCTCTTGCTGAATTACCCAGCCCTGAGCAAACGCCTTGCTGAATCACCCAGTCCTGATGCAGTCTTACGCTGTGTCCTGGATTGGTCTCTGGTGTCCTTTCAGCTTCTGCCCCTGCAAACTGGGCAGTGCATCCAAGGTCTCCTGCTAACATCTGTCACTCATCTGAGCCACCTGATCTGAAGTGTTGTCAGGGTCAGTATTTTTGTTCTGCCTGCTCTGTTTTGCTAATGGATCAATGGCAGTCAGCAAAGAACAAACTGTGCCAGAGAAGAATGTCCTCTTCTTCTCTGCTGACTCAGCTTGGGACAGGAAGACAGGGGGCATCTGGCATTTGGGGAAGCCCTTGAAAATGGATTTGTGTTGCCTTGGTTCTAAGAAGGTCACCCAGGTTGGATGTGAAAAGCAGAGGTGCTGTGTCCACAAAATAAAGTGATAAGCAGCGAGCCATTTCTCAGAGCTAATGTGCCCGAGTGTGTACCACCGAGATCTGTTTTATATCTCTCTACAGATTGGTGTGTTTTTTTTATGACAACCATCCCCATAGCAACCAGGTGTCCAGGCACTAAATGGATCTCAAGGATATGAAATCTCATCCTGGTGAGGGAAGCCCACTCTGACCACGGTTTCCTTGGAGTCGTTTCGCTTTGAGGGCTGATGTGCAGGTCAGGTGGCATGGGGCTTCTTCCTGAGGGCCCACTTGGACATGAGGAACCGCCCTGGTGAGAAAGGAACCTTTTCTTTTTCATTTTTACTAATAATCCAGAAGAAAGGGTAGGAAGCAGGTAAATTAAATTTGAATGAAACTAAACGGGAAGATGGAGTGTTCTATCCCACACCAGTGGGATGGAAGAAACGATGTGGACAGTCACGGAAGAAATGACCATGTGAGACTCGCCATGGAAAGCCCAGAACTGGAACCTCTGGGGCCCAGTATTCCAAAGCAGGAAGCTAGAAGAGATTTACCAAGCAGAATTATTTGAGGAGATTGGGGAGACGGAGATGATGATTAAGCTGGAAAAAAGGGACATTACAGAGTGCACAGAGCTGAGGGCTGTGCAGGGAAGGGGCAGTGTAGCTCTAGCTGGGCTAAAGCTTGGGTCCTGGTCAGGGAAATGAGGTGCTCCCGTGGGTCATCCCAGTGAGACCAGAGAGTGCACCCAGGGGAGAATATTGAGGGCATGGAGAGTCGCAGGATGGAATGAGGGACAGCCCATACAACTGCATCCTCTTCAGGTAGCTCATGCTCGCCCAGAGACAGATACCTGGCGTCAGGCTCTCCCTAAGGTCAGCCTTGCTAATGCCAAGCCCCTGCCTTCCACAGTTACGATTTTCTGGGGCTCTGGTAGTGGTCCTCCTCACCTCAACAGGGACGGATAATGGCTCCTTTTGCTTTGAAGTGATGCCCACGTACTTACTGCACAAGGAGGATGGGGAAAAGCCAGGAAGGGAGGCACTGCCACGCCAGCAGGGGCAATGTGACGACATGGAACAAAGGAACATGCAATTGGAATCCCAGGAAGAAGTTTAAGTGACATATAAATAGGCTGCAAATGGCCTTTTGGAGGGAACTCCCATCCCTGTGATAATCTAAACCAGAACCGGACGAGATGGGGTGGACCGCAGCTGGGGAGGAGCACGTGGGTGTGAGGGAGGAGGGACGGGGCGACCTCGTGCTCCCTTCTCTCTGTAATCACTCTGTCAACCCACGACTCGGGGAGGGGGGTTTGAAATGTGTGGTTTGTCTATTGCAGGAAGATATTTGGATCCCCCAAATCGAGGTGTGTCTGGAAGAAAGCTGCCGTCTCCCAAAGGAAAGCTGGGGTTAATCCGTAACTGTCAGTGCGTCTGGCAACAAAAGAAAAGGAAACCACATTCTCCCTGAATGAAGGAAGAAGCAGGAAGAGGCAGTTTTTTTCTTTTTTAAAAACATGAATAAGATCCTCCAATATGTTTGAGATTATTGAACACATTCTTTGAAAAGGTCCCTGAGTCACTGACCAACAGATCATAGATGTAGAAACCGCATTCTTCCAGCTTCCCTTCCCATCCTGACCCGAGATAGCAGGTTGGGCGTCCTGGGGGTCTTTGTTTAGTTGACCATTAACAATTCATAAAAGTGCAGATCCCTGTGCGATAGTCCAGTCCTCGGAATGTTATTAGAAAATCCTATTTCTAGTCTGTTATGAAACAGAGGTTTTGATGTGCTGCCAGGTTTATGGGGAACTCTGGAAACAACACTTGCTGCTCTGAGAAGCTGATGCTGGGTGAGTGTTACATAAAGCTTTCCTAGCAACTTAGCTTTATCACAGAATGGGAGGCTGCAGTGGAAAAAATCAGACGAGTTAATGCAAAACCTGAGCCAACTCACTATCCCCATTTGCTCTAAGGCCAGCCAGCAAATCTGTGGGAGTGATTTTAACCCACGGGGAGCGGCAGGCCCAGGGCTCTGGTTGACTGCAGATTCAGCCCAAGAATGCTCGGGCAGCTCAGCGCTGAAAGGCACCTTCAAACAGACCTCACGGAAGGCAAAACAGCTCTTCTTGACTCTGAACCAATTGCTCATTGAAATTCACACAAACACGTCTTCCTTTTCCTTCTTTGGGTCGTTCCCAGTTTCTTTGGGCACTGCAGGAACAAAGGGGAGTAAGGTCACATCATCTAATCCCTGCCAAGGGAAATGCATCTAATAGCACGCTGGTGTGTCTGAAGTCAATGGATAAGAATCTCATTTCTAGACTCTTGGACTCAAAAGTATGCCTCTTAGGATGGAATCCTTCTGTGGCACTGGTTGACAGCTTTTTGGGGTTTCTAAAAAGCATGTGTCCAGTCCATTGTTTTCAATCTCCCAGGGCTGGGAGGCGGGGGGTGGAAGAAGCTAGAAGAGGAAACCATGCAAAAATCCATTTGGAAGCTGCAAATCAAGCCTAACAGCCTCTCCTGATCTGCTCACACATGGTGCCCAACCGGTGTTGCAGAGAAGAGGAAAGATTCCCCAGTCGGGAGGACAAGTGGAAGGCTAAGGGCTGGAATGGGGCGGGAGCTGGAACTCAAACCGGGAGAGGGAGGAAAGGCAGCAGGAGAAAAGATAGCTCCTTCGCGGGCAGCCCCTGCGACATGTGCCCCAGGGACCTAATGCCTCCCTCTGTGATGTCTCTGCACCCAGGCTCTGCTGCTGCTTCCCCAACCATTATCTCATTTGGGAAGGAAAAGAATGGTTTTCTAAAACCGGTGTCCATGTGAAGGCTGTCATGCAGTTGGTGGAGAGCCTTTCCCCACATAAGTCAGATTATAGCAGTCTAGATGTTTCCTAGCCCCAGTCCTTCTCACTGAAGAGGGTTCAAGGTGGGTGGCAAGGCAGAAGGGTGGAGGGAGAAGAGAAAAAGTTCTTGTTTGCCTTCAAACAAACCCCAAGACATGCCAGTTGTTTCAGTAGGTGAATTCCTACTTCAGGTAGTCCTTGAGAGTCACCAGAAATCCAGGAGAGAAATTGCACTGAGATTCCATTAATGTTGAAAAAAATAAAATTAAATGGGCAACACAAAAAGAAGGTGATCAGCCTGCCCAATGAGGACTGAGTCCAGCCAGAGTCCCTTGTACCAGTAGATCACATTGTGTCCATTTAATAATAAGGGGCACCCTCTGCGGAGGCTTCACCCAAGGAGTCCCGCCCCACCCGCAGGCTCGGGCGCCTGCCTGCAGACCTCGGACGCCAGCCAGGGTCTCGTTGTGCAAAGCCATCCACAGCCAGCATGGCCGTAATGAGCCCATTTCAATTGAAATGAGATCAATACTACTCATTTTTCTCTTGCTGGCTCCCGAATGATTCATGAATCTGAAAACTAGTTCATGAATCAGAGCAGGGTGGGGAGGGGGGGCTGAGGCGGAGGCAAGGGAACATTTGTGCAGTCGGCAAACCTCGATTCCTTTCATGAACCCAGCCGTGAGTTGCATAACGCTGGCCTGCCTGCTAGTTTAAACCAGTCTCTTCGGAAGCAGCTTTCAGCTTGACTTATTCACCTATTTTCCTTCTGGAAAGGGAAAGAATGACACTGGGTACTGATTGTGTGTCTGTCTCGGGATATTTTTTTGCTCTTTGTGTGTGAAGCTGTAGGTGCTTCCTGGACTAGGACATGTGTCCATGTGTGTGTGCATGCATGTGTAATGGTCTTTATGTGCACATCCTGTGTGTGTGTGTGTGTGTGTGTGTGTGTGTGTGTGTGTGTGCATGAGCGAGTAATGTGTGACCGGCCTTGGGCCCTTTAAACCTGAACGGGAGCCAAGTTCATTTCTCAGCGGAGTTTCATAAGGAAGCATGAGCTGGGGCAGTTGGAAACCACATCCCTGTGAGTGCTGATTACAGCCTACTAAGGAAAATGAGATTTTTATCTCACAGGAATTCAGTTATAAAAATAAAATACAGCGTCTGGCTTGATTCAGCTAAATGTACAAGCACTGGGGTGTTTTTAATTTAACAGAGAAGCTGGACAAGAAGAATGACCTAAAACATTGCATTTAAAGAAAGTCAGAGGCGAGGGGGAGGCTACAGGAAGTGAGTGGGAGTAGAGTCGTGTGTGTGTGTGTGTGTGTGTGTGTGTGTGTGTGTGTGTGTGTGTGGAGAGAGAGAGAGAGAGAAATGGAGGTAGAGGGAGGGAGGAAGGGAGGAGGGAGAGGGAGGGAGGAAGGGAGGAGGGAGAGGGAGGGAGGAAGGGAGGAGGGAGATGGAGAGAGAGAAAAAACCCAGCCTGCTGGCAAATGAATGCAGCAGGGATGATGTCATTGGAACAGTTGGAGGAGAGAGGAGAAAAACAACTCCGAGCTGTGCTAATCCTGTTTGCTGCCCTGAAGGGAATGGAAGGCGGCCAAGGCAGGGAGTTCTGGGAAACCATATAAGGATGCCAAACAAGCATTGCCGCCAACATTAGGAACTGACAGCTTTGTTCTTTGTAACTTGGCTGCCCGCCAGAGGCCTCATTTCAGCTCTGCGGCATGATTACCCTGGACAGCCGCCAGCCCCGCGCTGAGAGCGCCTTTTCTTCTCTCCGAGCTTTTTTTTTTTTCCTCTTTCCCTCTGCCAAACATGCAGCAGTTACCATGGCAGTGGAAAGTAAAGTTTTAAAAAAACACAACAAAGTAGAGAGGCACGCCTTTATCCAGATGTGCCACATGAGCAGATAGAAAAGGCAGTTCACCTATTCATCGGGGCCTTTGACTGCAGAAGAAAACACTGGGGCACTGGCTGTCAAGTTCGGGAGGGAGGTGACTCCAGGGTAAACAGAGCAGTGAGCAGCCCTGGCTGCAGACAGAGAGGGGCTGGCTCCCAGGCCTTGTTTTCCTTCTCCCTCTCTCCCTTCCTGAGGCATTGTGGAGTGCGTAATGTGAAACGGAAAATGTCATGATTTCCACTGGGAATGTGTCCACGGTTTTGAGAAAGCTCTAGAAACTCAGGTCCATAAAGCATTGAGGGGAGGAGGAAGGGAGGGAGGGGAAGGGGCGGTTACAGTGCCCTCTGGTCACCAAGGTGAACCCAGTGAGCAGGAGCCAGCCCGTGGCTGTGGCCAAAGCCTCTGCCCGCTGCTGGAGCTCGGCCAGGCCGGCGTCCTCGGGTTGCAGGCTGTGCAGGGGTCCTGGGTCCCACAGATCCCTGGGACCCGAGGGACAGGGATGTTCCCTTTTCCCCTCCGAAGTACAGCCAGTAGTCTGGCTTTACAGGGGGACTCTGTGAAGAGTCCAGTTCCCTATTTTTAATCGGGTTCGTTTTCCACCTGCTTAGAAAGTGGAACATCTCCTGGGAGGTGACAAGTCGTGATCAAAGGCAAGGCTCCAGGCCGAGTTGCAGGTTTCCGAAGCAAAGGTCACTTAGAAGTGGAGGCTGCACTGCCAGCTTCGCCCCGCTGCAAAATCCGACACTCCTCACCCTCAGGGTTCAGCCAAATTCTCGGAAAGGTCTCTTCTGATTCTAGAAGGTGCTGCAGCAAGAGCTGACTCGGCCATTTCCTGGCCCCTTTAGTTGGAAGACGACAGAAAGGCGGAAGCAGGGACTGCTATCATGAGGCCCGTGGCAGCCTCCCTGTAAAACAAACTGGCACATTGTCACCTTCAGATGGACCACAGCTGGCCCTCCAAAGAGCCCTCCTTTGCCTTTCCAGAGTGTGCACAGCTGTGTCCCGTGTCCAGGGAGGGGACAGAGCCACCAGGAGGGTCAAGGTCGTGGAGGGAAACACTGGCAAGTGGGAGATGGACCCCAGAAGTCCCTCCTCCTCCTCCCTACTTTGATTACAGGCCTTGGCTGCCTTGCTCGGGCATTCCCAGCTCAGAGTTGGGTCTGCACTAAGTTAAACCACAGAGGACCCTATTGGGGTGGAGGCGAGGGGACTTGATTGACCTCCTTTGGGGAGGTTGCAAAGCAGACCCGTTCCCGCCCTTGTTGACTGGAATGAATGTCCAGGACTTCCCCGGGCCCCACACACCCTGGCTGACATCCGTGCTGAGGACATGGCCGAGGAGAGCTGGAAGAAGGAGAGGAGGGGAGAATCGTGCACCAGTTCCCATGCAAACAGGACCCACAGGCTCAGGGTCCCCAGAGGATGGCAGAGCCAGGGGAGACTGGGAGCTGGGGGCCAGACAGGGGCACACTTTTGCCTCAGGTTGGGGAGACAGTGCAGAGAGAAACTTGTGGCTGGGCAGAACTGATCTAAAGACAAACTTCAGTTTCTTAAGAAAAGGCTCCTGTCTGGAAGCAGAGCCTGACGTGGCTGTTGTCCCCTTTCCTTAACCTGTGACTCAAAACCAAGGGCAAGTGGATCCCTCACCTCAGACACAGGAACAGCCTCTTAGAGTGTGCTGAAGCAGCTACCCAGAGTGAGAGAGGGCGACTGACTTTGGAGCTGATGCCTGGGTCAGGGCCTGATGGAACCACATCCTTGTCCTTCATTCCCAGCTCCTGGTGACTTTCTAGAAGCAACACTGAGTTCGGCGCTTGGTGCCCCTGGGGCACAGCGTGTCTGAGCCTAACCCCATGGCTCCCCTTTGCTCAGCTGGTCTTCCCAGGTACTGCCTGGAAAACCAGCCTCTGGCGGAGATGTCTGGGCCTGCCCTTCCCACCTCCACGAGGGTGGAAATCTGACTCTCTGGGCCTTGTTTTCAGAGTTCCAGTGTTCTCTCTCACAGCCTGTAAGTGGAGAAGGGCAAGCTGAAGAAGGAACAGGTCGTTTTCACCGGTGGAAGCTGGCAGCTTGTGTACTGCTCCCAGCTTTGCTGCGTAGTGGGTTCATCCAGCCCTGAGGACACAAATTTGGTTCCCCCAAAAGCTCCCTGAATTCAATGGAGTATGTATGAGACTGCGGAAAACCCATTACCCTCCCTCACACATGAATGCTGCTCTCCTTTTAGGCTTGTCAGGCAGACTGAAGAG